GGGAAATGGGGTGTTAAATTGCGACTTACTTGGGTCGATGGCTAAATTGGTTAACGTGGTTGTAGGAGGGGGTGTTAAATGAGTGAACACGTACACACGTATGTGAAAGGGCGGCGCTGGTCGAAGGGACGTCGATCATTGTGTTTGTGGATTCGTTGGAATTCATTTCACCGCGACCTTGGGACGTCGACGCGCCCGTACAAACCAACCGACGAGCGGCAACTGAGCGAGCGAGCGCCGACCTTGAGTATATACAGCGCGACGGCGCATGCACTGTCAGCTGTCGAATGTTCGAGAAGGGGGAGAAGCGCAACGGCGCATGCGCGCGCGTCAGCTGCCGATGTTCTCGAAGCGCGACGGCGCATGCGCGTGCATCAGCTGTCGATGTTCTCGAAGCGTGACGGCGCATGCGCGCTACATTATACAGCTAGCGAATGTTCGTGAAGAGGAGAAGCGCACGCGATGTGTAGAGGAGGAAGGGTGAACAGATGGTGGAGGAGTGAAGCGCGCGCGGTGTGTAGAGGAGGAAGGGATGCACAGATGGTGGAAGAAGGAGGAGGAAGCTTGCGGACGGCGCCGCACTACAGCTCGAGTATTAGATGCTCGCATCTAAAAGTATCTAGTAACGTTGGTCTGGGCATCATGATAATCTTCATATCGTTTTTGGGCAGCAGCGCCGCGCGCGTTCGTCGTCGGCTCCTTTCAGATGCTCTTCCACGTCGCTCTTCTGCAAGCGTTCTAGCGCGGAGCTGTTGCTTTCAGTTACGCCTCGAGCAACGCTGTCATCACTCGCTGCACGTTCTTGTTTCCTGATGCGTTTTCGCTGTCGCAATGACATTGCTACCTGCCACTGCCATTCTTGGCTTCGTCGTCGCGTTCCTCCGCAGAGTCTTTTTCCTTGTTTTCGGCGTCACTAGTAGATTCCCCTTGTAGCACCTCGTCAGGTGAAAGGAAATCTTCGTTGGCGTCCACCGCAGAGCTCACTTGGGTTTCGATGTCTTGGTCATCTATGTCCATAAGTGCCTGGGCTAATTCCGGGTCGTTGTTCGTTGGGGTTCGGGCAGGTGCAGCGCAACGCGTCGGCCGAGAGCTGGCTGCCAGGACTCCGCGTTTCCGCTTCGCCGCGAGGCTTAGCGTGGCGGGTTAGCATGCTCTGCCGAAGGTCTTCACTTCCCAGAGGAAACCGGGATCGCTTGTCCAAAAAGGTGGTGTCAGCGTGTACCTGACGTTTTCCTGCACATTCCCGTAGTTTCACTGGTAGTCACATGATTTTAACCGCTGCTAGGTACGATGATTGACGGAGCCGATGTGAACGCGTGTGCACTCCTCGGTGCCACCTGGCGGTCTGCACTCATACTCAAGCTTTTTGCGAGCCACCTTGCGTCATTGGTTGGAGCCTTTCTATGGGATTGGAGACACTGAAAGTTCAACAAAAGTTCCTGAAGCTCCCAAAAAGTTGTGGAGGACTCAGTCTGCGAGATGTTGCGACATTCACGAAGGCACTTGCAGCTAAAACAGTTCACAAGTTGTTTCAGGACAATGACTATCCTGGCCGTAGCTTATTGCTATATTGAACCGGAACTCTTGGAGCCGAATCATGTCGGAAAGCTACCGGGGACCTCAAGCAGAACACCCACATGCCTTTATACGGCAGCAGAGGGCCTCAAGCGTTCGGTTGACGGTGACGCCACCAAAGAATACTTTGCAAACCTCGCACCCGCATGCATTAGCGAAATGTTAATCAGTCGCTCGATCACTGACGAGGAAAAACAGAGATGAAGGCCCAGCGAGTGGAAGAAATGGCGGAACAAGCACGTACCGAAAATAGTTAGAGAATTTGATTGGCTGCGGCGATGAGACGCATTGCCCACTCGTCAGAGATTGTCAAAGTGGGCGTCGTTCCCGATGACCACTGCCCCTACGGCGGGGAAAAGAGAAACAATCCGCCACACGATGTTGAATGCGTAGCGGCCAAAGGTGTTGTGGCACGTCGTGCGTTGTCAATTCGGAGTATCAATTGCTTCGAGTCAATAGCGCAGAAAGGGCTTATTTGAACAAGTCGTACTGTACGTCACAATGGTCGTCTTGTGGCGTCGCCACTGTATGGCCGAAGTACGGCGACGACCCCAACGAGCTGCATACCCACGTTACAGAAGATTAGAATAATCATGGTCGACGCACAACGTGTGGTACGTCGTGCGTCGTCAATTCGGAGTGTCGATTCCTTCGAGTCCATAGCGCAGAAGGGGATTATTTGAACAAGTCGTACTACACGTCACAATGCTCGTCTTGTGGCGTCGCCACTGTATGGCCGAAGCACGGCGACGACCCCAACGAGCTGCATACCCAATGTTACAGAAGATTAGAATGATCATGGTTCGGTACCTTACCGAACAGATTGAAACTCAGGGTGAAGAAGCCTTTATCAGAAGGTGGCATACACGTTTTATTGAAGTTCGGAATGGAAATATTGAACTTCCTTTACTGCCGTTCTAACTCGAAAAAATGCTTCTCGTCACACGTAATATGTGAATCTGTTCCAATTTACTGCCTTTTCGCGTTTCTTTCTCTTTGGTTTTAGAGTGATTCGTTATCTGTGAGAATATTGAAGTGCTGTGTGTTACATCCTGTCTATGTTCTCTTATTTGTACACGCCACTGAAGTGATTTTGTTACACCAGACAGTGTTACTCACGTGAATTGTTGTTACCAGTTTGCAATAAACTTCCCTGTTTCGCCCCTAAATAATATTGAAAAAAGGAGATGCGAAAGCGTATGTGGGCTGCCCGTGAGAGCGTTGCGGAGCAGTCCAGCGTTGCACGTCTTATGGATGATATGCCTCCACTTCTGATTTTGTGAAAATGTAATGCCACCTATACAAGATGATTTTCGGCTGTCACACAATGGGCTCTTTCTCGTGGACGTCCTTAACTACAGAAAATGCCAAGCACCAAATCATGCTGTGGGTATATTCACAACAGAAAAGATGCACGCCTTCGATGCACTATGGCTTCAGCTATAACGTCGCCGCACGTTAACCCCTTTGCCTCGCAGCATCTTCATTATTATACTGGCACATATATTTACATTGGATTAATTATTGGCGGCAGGCGCGCCGTGTCAGCGCGTCGGAAAATTGTACGTGATGCAGGGTTTTAGTGGAGAAACATGACTGACGGGAGCAGCTCATAAAACGAATGAACACATTGAAGTCAGTGGTCAAACCTCGTACGTAGAATCACTGGATTTGACGAGAAGTCGATGAGGGGAGACGTAGCTCAGCAGTAGTTTTTTGCGCTAGCCAACATGATGCAATGGCATCTACAGCAAGGACGGGGACATAGGAATAAGATGAACATACCATCCGCGACTCTTATACTGGTGCTTTGAAGAAGGTCTGAAGCGTGGGCCGATGATCATAGGCAACAAAACGCGCTGTGGCAATGAGCTAGTGGAAAACCGATGGTGGTTTGCGGCTAAAGACTAAACAGACGAGAGAATAAACAGTAGTCTTGTCGCATGCATGCTTCTCATAGGGAAGATCTCGGTAGTCAGACTGTTATAGACAAAATAAGCGAGTAACACCTTCCGGTACAAAGATAGGACAGCGCATGGTCGTCGATGGTAACATTTTTTTGTGCCCATTCGTATGCGTGCCGCATCGTTCCACATCAAATTAGGTGGTGGGGAGTGACTGTGCAAAACGCCAAGCCACAGTAGCTCACCTTATTAAGCTGGATACTTTGAATAGGCCTTCAACAATTACCTTTTTTTTCCTGATTGACGTCGCATTGACGAAAGTTCACTGGACGTATACTGTCATTTTCTAAATATTTATTGCACTTCTTGTCTGCGACAATGCGATTCAACGGGCTGAGGGAGCCAAAGAGCCTACCTCATTCCTGTGGAAGGGCCACTTACTTTTGGTGTTATTTTAAAGAAGCCCTTGCTGCATACTTGCGATGACGGGATGAGGTATTAACGATGACGTCATCAGACTTATCGCTCATCACAAACCATTTCTCAATGCTTCTGGATCTCTCGAGGCACGCGTTTTAACAAAAGAAAAAGGTGTAAAAATATAAGCGCATTTATTAGAAACAAACGAACCGCAAATAGTTATAACGATCACTGACGTGAGCGAAAATACTATAGAACTATCGAATAACTACCAAGGCGCAACAGCGAGAAAGCTGCTTTGGGAAAAAAAACCCAGGCAAACAAAAATATGCGATGGTTCTTTCTGAAAAGTGTTAGCTGATACCGGAATAGAGCCATGAAATGTAGCCTTAGGGCCCTGCTTCTTTCGCAGGCGCTAGCCAGAACTTCCAGATATGTCGTGCAAGCCAGTGTTGAAAAGAAAGAAAGCTAACGTTTACTGTTCAATCTCTGTTCGAAGACCGAATGCATGCCCACAGTAGCCTTCCGCACCAAATGCGCTCACATGGTAGCCATGGCCTACGCGCTGTTGCTAAAGTCAGGTGGGTGCCATAAAAAATATCAAGTAATAAGTGTTGCCTTAGGCACTGTTATGTTCAGGATGTAGATCTCCAAGTCTTATTAAAAACGGAAGTAGACGACACTGTGGACGGCATTTCTAACAACATCAGAGAATCGCTTTAACACGAACTTTTCAAAACTGGCGATTTATTACGAAGCAGAAATAAAATAAAGGGGCAAGCTAATATGACGTATAATTGCTAGCTGATCAATAATATATATTAGCACTATATTCTTAGCACTAAAATCATCATTTCCAAGCATAGAAGTAGCATACGTAATATACGTGGACAGTGGTCATTCAGATCCTGTTACAGGCACAATGCCATCGAGAAATGAGCTGCGGAAGGTACTATATTTGATTTCGCCTTCAGTTACTGCACATTTCTTTACATTTAGTTTGAATGGAAGTCATTCAGACCCAGGAACAGGCATGTTGCCATTTAGCAATGAACCGACGCAGGTTTTTATCTGATTTCGCCTCCCGTTATTGTATTTCAGTTAGCTGGTCTACAAAATGCAAGGAGTATTTTCTAAGATACGGCAGCAACGTTACGAGCACCTTGTTCTGCTACCAGAAAGGTCCTCTGTGCAGCTGCCTATGCTGTAAGTACAGCGGTTTTTTTTTTGTTTTTTGTTTGCACAAACCGGAGTACGATTTCCGATCATAGGCACATCATAACAAATTTGTCTTTTTACACAGTGATCGTTCATAATCAATCAAACAGAGTCAGAAAAAAAAGTAAACATATTTGAGTTACCTGTGGGACAAGCTAGCATCCCATATTTCGAAGCGGGCTGCCTCCAGTGTAACAGCAAACATACTCGTAGTGACTTTATAGCAATGTGGTTGCGAAGGGGTTGGCTTTCTGCACGACTGGTGTTAAGGCATTGCTCCGCATCCATTCGTACGCTACGGAGGAATACAAAGAAGGCGACTGCGTAAATCACCGAAAATACGATATCGCTACGCCAGCAATAGCAGATAGCCTCGCTTAGAGGCATAGCCCCCTATTTGTAGAAGTAATGATAAGCTTACTCCTTTCGTTGACAATTATCGGCGGCTCTTTGATCCTTCGGGTAGCCCCTCGTTTACTGGCACAATAGAGAGCATCTCCTTAACCGGGGTGCTTGTTTGAGCTGAACATTTGTGCTCATTTTTTCAAAATCTCTCGCACTTCTCTACGATGTAGGTCGTCCTCCTTACACAGAGACGACAGTGCTTTCCGGTGAGAAGGAAAAGAACGAGTGGCGCACGGCGTCAAGCGGACTTATTGAACGGGATAGTTACGATAAGAGCGGAATGCGCCATGCTCGTGTAGCCCGTTCGTTCCCGCCCCCAGTTTGTAATCACACCAGTGGTAAGAAAAGGAAATGAGATTGCGCATTGTTGCATAAACTAAACTTGTACAACTAAAGTTTACATCTGCATTTTAATTAGTTATATATTCGTAGCAGACCCCTCATCTCAAGAATAAAAAGAGCTCTTGCGTCTATTACCAAAATTTTGTGTCTATATATAGCCCGAACAGCGCTCTTAAAGTTTGAAAAATGCTTTTATGAAGCTGCTGCTCTTTTTTGGGAGGGTTTTGATCTCGCTTAGTTATAATGTTTATATCAGTTAGCGAATGTCTTATTTTATTGCACGAAAAATTTGTGCGCTCGCAATATACGTACCATAGAGAAACACTTAAGCAGGTGTAGTTGCTAGAACCAACGTTTTGAAAACAGGTATAGTTGCTAGAACCAACGTTTTGATTAGTGAACTTATTACTGTTCTTTGTAAAAGTAGTTCGTTGCATGACGCCTCTATTTTGCTCTGAACTTCGATCCTGTGTTCTAAACTTTTCCGTGCATACAAGTTTACTCGCAACCTTCGAATCATTGATCACGTTTTTCGTTTGTTGAATGCGCAACGTAATGAGCTCGTAAAAGAGTGTTCATACTATTTGCCTTAGATTTAGTAGCACACTCAAATAATTGTCTTGCAGGATGAACTGTAAAATACAAATGAGAAGGTGAATTAGGCATTCGTTCAAGTGCGTAGACTACTTTGGTAAAATTATTTATTCTTAGGCTTGGGTATCACCTCACGAAAAATTTCTTTATTATTCAGATAATAATCATACTTGGGAACTTCTGGATTAAAAAATTATAATTGGTGCTTTATTTTCGACGTACTCAGAAGAAACGCGCGTGTATCTGTCGCGTATTCATTCAGCTGTTATCATGTTTACGTTGTGTCATGCCGCACCTACCGGGGCGATGCCCTGCGCATGCGTTCCATACAGGCATATGTATATATTCAGAGTAAATAAAGAATACGGGGGCGTTTGCCCGTTCGTGTTCAACCCGGTGTCGTTCATCACGGAAACCCGAGATGGTGTCAGAAGTGTAGCGCACTGCTTTTCGAGCTATGACGAGTGCAGAAAATACGAGCTTCTGCCAGCCTTTACCGGTACAACCGCCAACGAGCTTCAACTTTGAAAAGGTGTCAGAGTGGCTGGCATGGGTGGAAAACTTCGATGATGGTCGATTTGCTTCCAGCCTGTATGTATACGATGGGGGGACATGCTCGCAACATATTCCGGACCTTTGAATTATCGGAAGAACAGTCAAAGGACTATGAAGTGGTGAAGAAACGCTTCGACGCATACTTCGTTGCCACACGGAATTTGGTCTACGATAGTGCGTGCTTCGATCTTCGCCAACAAGCTGCAGGTGAATCGGTAGACCAGTACGTGACGGCGTACCCTACGCTGGCAGATAGGTGTGACTATGGTGTGATGAAAAAGAGGATGATCCTCGACCGTTTCGTCGTTCGACTACGGTACTCCAAGCTGTCTGAGACCCTCCAAATGGACGCAACAATGAATCTGAAAACGGCTCTGTCCAGGGCAAGAACGAAAAAAGCGGTACAACAACAACAACATGAGCTTTACAGCAGTGCATACCACCAAGCAACCGACCTTCAGTTCGACGCAGTTCATCGAGAAGCTTGCGGGTGGGCAGAGCACCAAAGGGTCTACAAAGACGTCCGAAAGTTTGCGGCATGTGGCAGAACCCGTCATTGGAAGTCATCGTGTCCTGCAAAAGGAGCAATTTGCTACCGGTGCCAACGACGGGGACACTTCGCTGCGGTGTGCCCACAAAGGCAGGATTTCACAAATGTCGAAGCAAGTGCATCCGAGGTAGGCCTGTGTAGTATTCGCCGGAGTCATGCTTCGAGTGAGCAATTAGATGGAAAGGGTGTAACGTACTTTGTTGGGACTTTAGCTTGTACGTTTGCAAGAGCTCGCTTTGTTCAAGTCGCTATTGACGGGGGGACCGTATCTGCTAAAGTCGACACAGGAGCAGAGGTAAACGTTGTTCCAGCCTCCTTCCCTGGTGTACCGAAAGATATAGTGCAGTCTAACGTAATTTTAAAGGGGCCAGGCAGTGAAGTGTTAGACCTAAAAAGAAAGTTCACTGCCAATACTCTGTGGAGACGATGTCGGGTTAGGGAGGACCTTTTTGCCGTCAACTCGGCGAGTAATGTCATTTCAGGCTTGCCAGCAATAGAAGCTGTAGGAATTGTGAAATTTGTAGACGAGGCCTCAGTTCATCAAACTGTGCAAACGCGCTTTCCCCTTCTCTATTCCACGGTTTAGGTACCATGAAATGAGAATACTGTATTAGTCTCAAAGAAGACGCAGTGCCCTATGTTATTCACACCGCTCGTCGTAAGCCCATCCCGCTGAGGGATGGCGTGAAATGCGAACTACAGGAAATGCAAAGAAACGGAGTCATTCGTAAAGTTGAAGGGCCGACCAAATGGTGTGCTGGCATAGTGTTCATCTTGAAGCCTTCCGTGCAAGTTAGGATCTGTATTGATATTTACGCAGTTGAATAAGAATGTGAAACGTGAGCGGTTAGTGCTCCCCACTGTTGATGAGGCACTTGGGCTGCTTAGCGGAGCAATGGTGTTTTCTAAACTTGACGCGAACTCAAGATTCCATCAGGTAAAGCTAAGCAAGGGCTGTCAGCTACTGACAACGTTTATTACTCCTTTTGGAGGTTATTGCTTTGAGCGTCTGTCGTTCGGAATAACATCTGCTCCTGAGTATTTTCAAAGGCAGATGTGTGAAATCCTTGGAGTGCCGGAGCCGTAAACCTAATGAACGATGTACTGGTCTTTGGTTCGTCTCAGAAAGGGCACGACTAGCGACTGTTCCAGATTTTAAACCGATTGGCAGAAGCCGGCGTAACCCTGAATCCGGAAAAATGTCAGTTTAGTGTAAAAGAGCTTTGTTTTTTGGAAAGCCGAGTGAGCAAAAATGGCATACGACTGGACCCAGCTAAAGTTAGGGCGATCAGTCATATGAGGCCACCGGAAAATGTAAGCGACATGCACCGGTTCCTTGGTCTCGCAAATCATTGCTCGCGGTTTATCCCCGACTTGGCAGATATGACCGCGCTGTTACGTCAGTTGCTGCAAAAGAACAAGGAGTGAAGTTGGGCTGCACCTCAGCAGATGGCCTTTGACAGCGTAAAGCAGGCCATCTGTCCCGATACATGCATGGCAAAGTTTGATCCGCATAATCCAACTATCCTTTCTGCAGATGCATCTTCGTATGGTTTAGGGGCAGTTCTGCTTCAGGTACAACCAAACAAAGAAAGACGGACTGTTGTTTTTTCCAGATCATTGACACCAACAGAAGAAATGAGCTATGCACAAATTGAAAAGCAGTCCCTAGCTCTAACCTGGGTGGCCGAACGTCTTGAAAGTTACGTGCATGGGTTTACATAACGCTGCAAACAGATCACAAACCGCTAGTCACATTGCTACGAAGGACCCCGCTTGATTTGTTGCCGTCGCGTATTCAGCGATTTCGAATGCGTCTGATGTGATTCAGTTTCGAGGTGGAATATGTTGAAGGAAAAAACTTTTATATTGCTGGCGCATTTTCTAGAGCGCCAATGCGACAGCAAAACAGTAAGGACGTACTTTCGGTAGAGGAGATCAACTCGTTTGTTTCTGGGGTGTTGTCAGAGTTGGGCGAGTCGGACCAGTTTCGACTGGTAGCCGAAGAACAGGCAAAGGACGAGACCTGCCGTATGTTGTGCCGTTATCTTCGTGAAGGATGGCCGAGACCAGCTTCAATGTCAAGCGTATTGAGGCCATACTGGCAGGATCGTGCAGCTCTGAGTGTCTGCAAAGGAGGGCTCATGCATGGCACGCGCCTCGTTGTGCTGCACTCGCTCCAGAATAGACTGTTAAGTCTGCTTCACAAAGGCCATCAGGGTATCGTGAGGTGCAGGGCGAGAGCAAGAGAATCCGTTTGGTGGCCCGGTTTAAGCTCTCAGCTTGCTGCCGTGGTTGGCGATTGCCGCATTTGTTCAGTTTCGAGACCAGCCGAGTGAACCTATGATCCCAACTCAGACACCTAATCGCCCATGGCAAAGGGTCGCAGCAGATATCTTCCACCTCCATGGCCGGAACTACTTGCTTTTAGTGGACTATCTATCGCGCTTTCCTGAGTTGTGTTTGCTGACATCTCTTACCAGCACCAACGTTGTTAGTCACATCAAAGATGTATTTGCAAGGCACAGTATTCCGGAAGTGC